TGAAATTAATTAAACATTTAATTTATAATTATTTTAAACACTCCGATAGCGTCTTCAGGAACAAGTAATATAAAAAACAACAGTTTGAGAAAACAGTTTTTACACAGTATTACTAGCCTCACTGAAATATACCAGAAATAAAAAATCACGTTACTCGCCTATCAGTTCCTTACTATAAACATAATCCATTGTGTTTGTGTATGTATGTGTTAGCATCCATCGCCAAACGTGGCTGGCTTGATTATCGTAATTTTTGGTATAATAACTGGAAGTTGTCCGGCGGTGTACGTGGGCTATATTGTTTTATGATTTATGTCCGAGCAAGAGAATAAAATAATACCCTGAAATAAGGTACATTTGCACTTTTTATAGACTTTTGGCCTTGAATTTAAATAAATAAGTACTTAATTAGTTAAATGAGCTAATTATTACCTTCCACAGAGCAAGGTATGCAATTAGCTTCTAATGAGGCCATTATAGTTTTAATAACAACAGAAAGAAGGAAGGGGAACATTATCTAACATTGTCCATTATACAATTTTTGACCATAACGGGTGCTCTCTTACCTATTATTAATAAATTACAACTTCAATATATATATATATATATATATATATAATGCACTTTTAATAGTAAGAATTATTTCAAGACAAACATCTTCCTTAAACATGTAGTATCGGGGCGTACAACGTGTTGTCTACTTCCTTGTATTAACATAGAATTTTTCAGGTATATATGTGATTTTCACATAACATGTTGGTCAAAAAAGTCACTTTCCCTCCACCTACCTATTGTTCTGTGCCTTTCTCCTAAGATATTACCTTTGTCTTCCCGTAGGAAAAGTTTGTGTAAGGTTAATCATACCATATATAAGTATAGAGAAAAACGTTTTCCACTGGCATGTTTAGAAGTTACAACTTCCCTTACGACAAACAACTTTGGAAAATTACGAAGTTATAGTTCTAACTATATTATAAAGTGGTGTTTTATTGAACTGGAACAACGTACAAAGGATTTAGAGAGATTGAAAGTTTCATAAGTATAGTCTCCAACAAGCTGTAGTTGATCGAAACCTCTCATAAAACCGACTGTTCGTCGTGCTAAATACACAGCTGTTATTTGCCTGACATAAATATCGTTTTCACCGTGTCTCTCTCATTTGTGTCCAGTCTTTTTCTTGCACGAACTCAGTCAGGTTTATAGGATTCATAAGCACATTGTAGAAAATATCTTGATAGAATTTCTTGTTATTCTGAGAACCTATTTTACTCACTCGTGGGGAAAATCAATTTTACTTGATAATACCACAAACTTTCCAATCGTGTCTTAAGAAATCAAACGATCACAATGTATTATAATATTATTATAATCTTTTCAGTAAAATCTTCAAATAATAAGAATGAAAAAGCCATTATATGAGTATTTTTTCTATCATTAACGTTGTGAAATCTGGAATAAATAATATATATATGACATCCAACTGAGTTAGACCGATTTTATGGATTTCCACACCTCACCTGCTACCGTCGAATAGGTTAACGAGAGAACGTTGACTCCTTTGTTTTGTACATCAATGAAGGAGACAGCAAAACTGTCCATGAAGTTGGTATTCAAGCCTCCAATATGATGTTTGGATATAAATACCAAGATGTTATGGTACTATTATACTACAGCACATCCAACCTTTTACTTTTAGTTTAACACCTATCATGCTACTACCTGGATTTCCTCAGCAATACCACTTCAATGACTCTAAAAAGATCCCAGAAGACTCCAGAAGTGTGGTATATATATATATATTCTGTTTAGAACTTGTTATGGTAACAATACTGCTCTTCTCAAACCATGACTTTAAATGTGAAATGGAACATTACATAAGACTAAAAGGACATTTTCATAAACAATCTCTAAAAAGTTGTATAGAAGATTAACTATATTTTTTCGAAAATGTAGTCATTCATTCTCACCTACATTTTATTGAAAATAACTAACGCATAAAGAAGCATTTACATTGTTATGTGTAAAAAAAAGAAATAGATGCTTGTAACTTGATTAGAAATGTTAGTTTAATTAGAAACTTCAAGAAGAAAACAGTCTTTTACAGCAAACACAAAACAAATAATTGTACGTGTATAACAGTTGGATGCAATTGTTCTATGATCTTTCTCATTTAGAAATAAACTATTTAACACACATTAAATCCATTTCATTTAATATAATCTTAATCAATTACTCTAGAGTAATCAAACAAATATAAGGTTTGTGCTTTTCTGCTTATTTCTGTAAACAGTATTTATATTATAAGGCGTAAATGTTTTTAAAATATAAACAACAATAAAAATATCAGATGTATATTTGAAGTTACTTTATTCAAGCAAAGGTTTAAATATCGAAAGCTAGCGAAACATCAGAAACCAGTAGGCCTTATATTTGTAATAAAAATCACCTAGTTTGTCCACATCGGAATTAAAATTAAAAAATCTATCCCATGTCTCCCACAATTCACTGTACAGGAAGTTTTTTTTATTTAATCACAGAATTTGTCAGCTGGCTTCGAAGTTGAGAGACTAAATGATATACATTTATACAGTAAAATAATTTCAAAGTTACGTTTTAAATGCCAAAGGCTGGCGAAGCATCAGAATTCAATGGGTCTAAACCGTGTAATAAATCACTTGAACTGCAGAAAGACTACCCACATTCTTCTTAATATCTCCACTTCGGATTTAAAAACAGAAACGCATGAAAATAATATTTCAGTTCTATGTTTTATCTCCATAAGTCACTACTCAGGCGCCTTCCGTTTAATACCAGAACTCATCAGCTATATTGTACAATGACTGGCAAAAGTTCATCTGAAATTCAATTTATATTTCCAGTAAAATAATTTCAAAGTTACAGTTTAAATGTCAAAAACGGATGCGGCATTAGAATTTAATAGGGTATTATTTGTGATAAAAATCATTTAGGCTACAAATGTTTTTTTGTTTTTACATATTATAAATACTTGCTATAAATAATACATATATATACGATTTAATACACTATTCTGGAGAATATACACAACTACTTACTATTTTACTTAAATATAAATGTACAATAAACAGGTAATATTTTAACGTTTAAATAAGAAAAAGACTTGAAATTTTTCGTTTTCTAAGCAGCCGAATCTAGGGTATTTATCTTCTCAGGTTCGGTGTTGGTTAACCAATTGGAGCAGAGCTTGTCTACGTAAGCTGCAACATAGCAGTCTGCGATAACGTTACTTGTTGTTCTTGTACGTTCTCTGGAATGGACCAAAATAAATAATTTTACTTTTTATTGGCCTCTTCACTTAACTATTTCTGAGTATAAATGAGTATTTCTGAATATTAAAGTTTTTAATTTATACAATTCATACAAATATATCTTCATTTCGAAAAACCGTTTTTCAGTTAACACAAAATAGAATTTCAACGCCCGACCTCGTGAAAATACAATTACAGCATATTATTAAAGTTATCTGACAATTTATCTTGGATAAAAACAACATCATTTATGTTTTCATATGAATGTAAAAGTAAATCAAATTATTTTTACACAACAAAACGTTAATAAAATTGATTACATTTTAAAGTATACATAACGTAAAGTGTTACATTCCTACGTTCAAAGAATAACATCCAATCAAATAGACGAGTATAAAGGCTTAAGAAACTTGTAATGTTTTCATATTTCTAATACACTGAAACTTCACATACATCATTACTTATATGTAAAGTCAACATCTGATCTTACTATCAAATGACTATAAAAATCAAGATAATTTTTTCTCAACATATTGATTATTACACAATAAATACATAAAATACGGATAAACATTGACATTATTTTGAAATAATAATAATAACTGCATAAAGGTTATATAAGTTTTTAAAACCGAGAAAGTTAACATTATAATGTATATTTATAATATTATATAAAATATTAGAAGAGCAGTCATACAGATTTTTATTAATTTATTTATTTGACCATAACGAAACCCTCCAGTGGCACAGCGGCTTATCTGTGGACTTACAACACTATAAACCGGTTTTCGATACCCGTGGTGGGAAGAACACAGCTAGCTCATTGTGTAACTTTGTGCTTAATAACAAACAAACAAAACTTTCACGAATCACTTTATTCTGTGTGCCACATCTCGACATACAATGGGATAACGTTAACCGGTAGAAACCAATAAGACTATTAATAAAACCGATATCTTGGTGTGATGATTAAATCTTCTATGTATTAGAAGATTATTTGGTTTGGTATGTTTTGAATTTCGCGCAAAGCTACAGAAGGAATATTTGCGCTAGTCGTCCAAATTTAGAATTGATAGACTTGAGGGAAAGCAGCTAGCACTACCCACCTCCAACTCTTGGGCGAATAGTGAGTTTGACCGTCACATTAGAACACCCCCTACAGCTGAAATGGCGAGCATGTTCGGTGACGGCGATTCGATTCCGCGACCCGCAGATCGCGAGTCGAGCGCCCTAACCACCTAAACAGCTGCTTTACTTATCTTGTCTTAAGGCCAGCTCTAAACAAGTATATTGTTTGAATAATTTTATCAACAAAGATTAATAATAATAATAAGAAAAATAATGAGTTAATGTTAATGAGTTGTTAATATGTATGTGCTCCCTGAACTTATGAAAAAAATAATCATTCATCACTTCATTAATAGCTTATTTTAACTGTTACGAATAACAATATTACAGATAACAAGAATTGCAATTATAGTATTTTGGCACTTGTGTATAAAGTTAAAATCATAAATAATATTCAACGTTAAACTGGTACACAATTAAAAACATAGGCCTAAATAAAATAGTTTTAATTGTGTACCAGTTTAACGTTGAATACTATTTATGATTTTAAGAATTGCAATGTTTAATTCGGGATCGTCACCTATTTCTCAGTCTTGGAATTACGTGCAATTTACAAAAGGAAAACAAAAACATGAGTAAACTTACATCATCCATTCAAAAGCTACAATCAGGGAAATAGAAGGTGGAGTTGGTATTCCCAGAAGAGAAAGCGTTGTTACAAGAAATGCTGGATATGGCCCAATGGAAACCGTTGGAGATGCTATGGTCAACAAAAACACAACGAAGCTGCGAAATAATAATATGATTACATTATATTGTATGCTTATTCTAAAGTTCAAATACGGTACTAGTTCAATGAAGAAAATAGCATGTTAATAATTTTTTTATGGTGTTAAGGGTGCAAAACATTATCCTCAGATTATAACAGTTACAGAATGCAAATAAACGTGACGTATTGCTTATAATATTTAGTGTACGGTATTGAATTTTTAATGAAATATTAAAATGGACACGATATATTGGTGTTTTGTTCAAAACATTGACATCACATTGTTTTTAAAAAGATAAAAAGGTTAAAATATAATATTTACGTAAAAGGAATAACAAGATATGAGACTTTTTGTCATCCAACGTAATCCGTGGACTCTTTATTTACAAATAATTAAACTAGATAAGAAATAATTAAAGTCAACTGTGGAAGAAAAACCTCGTATAAGCTGCATTAATACATCTCTAGCTCTAGCAGGAGGACGTATATATATAAATCCCTATAAATGCTTTGCTTATATGCAATTTTTAGAGTTTTAAAATCATTTATACCTTCATTAATTTATTTTTAAAAGTATGGATGAATATATATATATATATGATTCGGTAAAACGTTATGTACAGTTATTCTCTGAAAAACTTTTTTTGGTTGTTAACTTGGTGTACATTCTGCTGCTTCTTTAGTCCCAAGTTTTCCCTATGACTGTTATTGCTACACATTTGTATCATGTTGTAATGTAGATATATTGGGTTATTACTCTTATGTTTCAGCTCTAGTGCGTCTTTTATTCCTAGATTTGTGTTTGACCTGTATTGATAGATGTTTTATCTCTATATTTTGTTCAGACTACTACGCACAGATTTGTGTTTTAATGGTTTTTATGTTTATGTTTAACTGTCTTCTGTAGATATCTACCGTGGTTATTATTCCTTAATTTATGAAACGTAGTTCATCTTATTTCCAGATTTAGTTCTGATTGTTATTTGTGTTATGGCAGCCCCTAGATTTGTGTTTGTTGTTTCTTTTGTCCTGAACTTAGTCAAATTTACTGTAATAATATCTATTTGATACAAAGTTTGGGAACTGTTACAGAACGTTACAGATGAACACTCGCATCACGAAAAAACCAGTCTATTACATTTATTGTAAAATATATAATAAATGGCCAGTTATATATGAAGTAAGAATGTAATATTTTTATGTCCTTCAAAACATGCAGAATATTTCCAAACAATAAGACGCGTCATATTAGTTTCTTCCAAGGTAAAGAAATATATAGGGTTATCATCAAAATTGGAACATTACTAGTTGTTAGGCTTAAATATTCAACATGATAGTTCTTAAAACACTATATGAGTCAATAATAACCTATGAAACTGATATATATATATATATATATGTGTGTGTGGGTAAATCTCATAATATATTTATACACGTACATAAATGTATACAGTATTGGAAATAATTGTGGAAATGTACAGATGACATCCATACAGGAGTCACAAACAATAAATAGCTGCAACTGAGTGATCAGTTTATCATTAGTAAAATACATTATTGCAGAAAATACAAAATAAAAGTAAATAAGCTGTACATTGCACTAGTTACTACAGGGGGGGGGGTCGGCAACCTGCGGATCTTTAATGAGATTCGTGCGGCTTTCGGGCTTTACTTTTACTGTGAAGAAAAGTTGAGAACCTTTCAGACACAATGGGTGTTAAAAATGTAATCTCAACATTTGCAATATTTTACTTAGGATAGAGTCGCACTGTTAACACTTTTTTTTTCTTTTTTTAGGTTAGACCGTTTGGACATATTGCAGCTTTCGAATTTTTTTTAGTCTTAGACAAAAAAAAGGCTCTTCTTCTTTGAAGGGTTGCCGACCTCTGCACCAGTATTTTGAATTTGCTTTAAACGGGGCAGTATACATTTTTTTTTATGCTACCATTATTTTATAAATGCATAATTGAGAATTACTGTTTCAAAGTATTGTATTGCTCCCTACAATTCAGCCAAATGTTTCAATGCAGTTTGACCTTTTTGATTTTCCTATAAACCCATACATCCTTAATAATATTGATATCGAGTGTTCTATCGGTACTTTTAACCTCTGGGTATCGTTTCACAACATTACTGCATACTCCATAAGTAGTTCCAATACTGTATATTCACTATAATATTTCCAATATAGTTATGATTAGTTGTGCTTACTTCATCAGAACTAACTTATCAAAGCCAAGTTCTAAGCCCAGAATCTGTGTCAAGAACAACACTTTGATCGGTAAGTCTATGGAAAGTCCGTTCTTGTGTACCATCATCCCGAGAGGTAAGACAGAACGAGTGACAGATGGGTGAATCTTTATCTTCTCTTCCATTATCCGGATGCTCATAGGAAGAGCAGGAGCGCTAAAGCAATCAATTAGTTTCGTTCAGTTATCTAATTTGTTCTGTATTTCTCAATGTTTTAATACCCGATGTCCTCAAACAGTATCTAATTTTCATTATATTTATGTTTGTTACGAACGATTTTGCATTCGCATTTAAAGAACCAATCAATATATGAACATCTCAAAATTACTCTAACATGTTTTATAACAACACAAACAAACAAATGTAGTACGAGCGTTAATGTGAAACACCGTAAGCATAACAAGCTTATGTTTTAGTAAACAATTTTCGAGTTTTAATTTTTAAATAAATATATTGATTTTTGTATCATTTTTGATTATTTCTAAGCCTTATCCATTATGGTTCTACTTCAAATGCAAAATCTTAAAGTAAACTGTTACCCATGTTTTTAATGGCAAAAGGTGCTTTAATAGGCGTAATTTATTAACTTAGTTAAGTTAAATTGCTATGATATGAAAATATGACAATTTTAAGCAATATAAAAAGCATGAAAATGTATTTCAAAATACTTTTATGAGAAAGAGAACGAAAGGGAGAAGGAGACAATATATGATCTTATTATGTTCCTACTATAAATCCATTACGCTGATTGCACAATGGGTTCTATAAAAACTTTTTAACATTGAAAACTCTTTTAAGAACCTTTTAAATTTGTGTTAGATGTAGTATGGAAAGCTGAAACCATTAGATCTGTCGTGATCAGATATAATTCTCACTTTGGTGCTCTTAGAAACTAAGAGAATATAGATTTTGAGAAAATGTATGATTAGAAATAACTTTCATTTTACTCTTACTCCAATATATTTGAATATCCATAATCTTTATCACCACAAAAAATTATCACAACGATACTCTCCTTGAAAATCAATCAGGTTTACAGAATTTATATACATTTTGAAATATATGTTAAATTGAAATCCAAACTCAGATTCAGATTTAATGGAACTAAATCTTCAAAAGTAACTCCTAAGTTGAAGCTTTATTCAAAGAATTCTGATATATAGAGCTTACATTATTAGAAGCAATCCTTACATTGAAATATTTCTCGAAATACTCCTGTTTTTATATAGAAGTTTTATCTGAAATCTCAAAACTTGCATAATCAAAGTTAACACTCACCTTGATGCTGTCCCAAAAGCAGTCAGTGTTACGGAGAGCAAATCAAGTTGAAACTGTAAAGGATTCTTCCTGACAATCAAAAAATATAGCCCTGGCAAGATTAATACCTGGTGAATGAGGACACCCACAAAATCTGCTAGAATGTAAAGACTAATTGACTGAAACAATTGAGTTACTGATTTCGTTTTTAATCCCTCTTCACACATCCAGGAGAACATTCCAAATATCAACAACCTGAAATGAAAATTTGGACTTAAAAGCACAATGAAACAATCTTCAAAAAGATTCGTTCAATATCTTTAAGTATTTAACTTCATGAGATTCATGTAAAACGAAATTCATACAAATAGCAGCATGGTTTACGAGTAAATGTGGGTTCTTAATCAGACTAACTGTTTATGTGTGAAAGAATACGTAATTTCATAAAACTTATATTAGGCATTCTGCAGAAAGCGTGTTTTATTGGTGCTTCCTTACATACTGTCGTTGATGTTATTGCAAAGAGATTGATTTTTCAAACTTACTAATAAACTAATCTATGCGTAATTATTTAAAAACTGAAATTTTACAGACAATCCCAATATATTTAGTATTAATATTATCATAAATGTTTCTGTGAACACTATTTGTGTTATTGATAAAGTTGCATCAGAAATTCTAGAAAAGTATTTTTGGTATTTTACAACACATCCAATGAAATTAATTTCGAGCAGATATTGTCTCGTAAGAAGAAAATCTTAAATCTTAGATGTAATGACTAAATGAAGTGTTCCGAAAGTAATGAACAATCACTGAGGAAACACTATTTGAGTAGTAATGATGAGTGCTGTAGGAAATTCATTGTCCTAGAAGTGATGACTAAAACAGAAGGTAACACCAGTGTCATGGAAACACTAACTAATACAGAAGGTAATACCAGTGTTTGGAGCAAATAACTAATACAAAAGGTAAAATCAGTGTCCTGGAAATATTAACTAATACAGAAGGTAACACAAGTGTCCTAAAATTAATGACTAATACAGATAGCAACATTAGTGTCTAGAATTAATAACTGATACAGGAGATAACACTAGTGTCCTAAAATTAGTGATTAATACAAAAGATAACACTAGTGTCTTGGACGTAATAACTAATACAGATGGTAACACTGGTGTTCTGTAAGTAATAACTAATACAGAAGGTAACACAAGTGTACTGGAATTAATGAATAATACAGAAGGTAACACAAGTGTCCTGGAAATAATAACTAATATAGAAGGTAACACTATTGTACTAGAAGTAATAATTAATACAGAAGGTAACACTAACGTACTGGAATTGATGACTAATGCAGAAGGTAACACTAGTGTACTGGAGTTAATACCTAACACAAGTGTCCTGGAAGCAATAACTAATACAGAAGGTAACACTAGTGTAGTGGAAATAATAACTAATACAGAAGGTATCACTAGTATTCTGGAAATAATAGTTAATACAGATGGTAACACTAGTGTAGTGGAAATAATAACTAATACAGAAGGTATCACTAGTATTCTGGAAATAATAGTTAATACAGATGGTAACACTATTGTTCTGGAAGTAATAACTAATACAGAAGGGAACACTACTGTTCTGGAAGTAATAACTAATACAGGAGGTAACATCAATTTCCTAGAAGTAATAACTAATGTAAAAGAACACATGAACAAGGAAAAGTAATAACTAATACAGGAGGTAACATCAATGTCCTAGAAGTAATAACTAATAGTAAAAGAACACATGAACAAGGTAAAGTAATAACTAATACAGGAGGTAACATCAATGTCCTAGAAGTAATAACTAATGTAAAAGAACACATGAATGTTTTGAGTGTAATGCAGATTGTAGAAGTAAACCTAAAAGATGAGGAGGTAAAGACTAATGTAGTAGTAAGTCTAATTGTTACTGAAGTTGTGCATGTGGTAGTTTTACTGATAGATTAGTTTTACTCAACTTACCACAGTAAAACGTTCAATATTTGCATGATGACTTCATTTATTTCTTCAATAACTTTTTTCAGGGTAGACGCTTTATCCCCAAGGGAAGATAAGACACAACCGAAGAGAATGCTAAACACCAGAAGTCCTGAAAATTGAAAACCAATAACAAGTAGTAGATACACATCATTGACTTTAATCTGTGCTCGAAATGAAATTAACTAAAATTATAATAATATTTCTTTTGGTAAACAGACACACAGATATATATATATATATATATACCTATTAGAAAATATTTATATGTTTTATATTTCAACAATAATACAATTAAATGTATGTGTGTATAACGTCAGAGCTGTCGAAATGTTTTTACATTGAAACTGCTGTAAAATATTCCGCTATCAAAAATTTTATGATTTTATCTTTAAATAGTTCAACATACATTTACAGCTTTTTTGGAGATAATTAATAACTCGTTTCAACACAATGTGGTCTGATATTAAGTAAGTGAAAGAACTCGTAGAACTGGGCTAAGATAAAAATAAATAAATAAATAAAATGCTTGGGTATTTAAAATTGTATTAAAACTAGAACTGGTAAAGTTTAGATATCAAATCAAAAACATGCCCTGTCCAGCTGATGAATTCTAGTACTGAATACAAAGTTTTTTGAGCACCAAGGTGTGGTAAACAAAAAGTACATTTTAAATGATATTTTTACTCGCATTTAATTTGAAATCCGTAATAGACTAATTAAGATGAATGTGGAAAATATTTGCGGCTTATCACTGATTTTAGGCCTAATGGTGTCACTACTTTGCTGGATCTGGCGTTTAAAAGCATTAGTTAATTGTAAGTGGTAGTTACTGTGGTCATTAAGCACATATTTTAGCTAAAATTTTTTTAATTTTAGAATATTATGAACATTGTTAGTCATCTTGTTATTTAACCTTGTGGATCAAAATATACTTTTCTTTGTTATATGTATGGTATTTTAGTTGTTTTTTACACACCACAGTGAGCAAATTAATAGAATCAACACTTCATATTCTTGGAATCTTATATAAATATAGATCCACTATTGTGAGTAAAATACAATTCAAAACACCATAACAATAACATACACTTTTTCTTTTGAGTTACCCTAGTCCAGGAATACTAATGAGGGGTGGAATTCCCTAAACCCAATATAATTTAGTGGTAAGTGATGAATCGAATAATAGATTGGGTTTAAATAATTTTCTCCAATGAAGTTATTATTTCCACGGTCAGTTGTCGTTGTTTGTAATTAAGCACAAAGCTACATAATGGGCTATCTGTGCTCTGCCCACCACGGGTATCGAAACCCGGATTCTAGCGTTATAAGTCCGCAGACATACCGCTGTGCCACTGGGTCATTGATGTATAAACTAAAGCTTATATTATTATTATCCTGTACATATAATAAGATTTTAATTAATATACAGCAATGAAAATATTGTACGAAAAAATAATATATGCATTATTTCAATTTATCAAATTATATTTGAAACTTAGAAAAAAAAATTCTCCAACATATTTCATTTAGAATATGAAGTAACGAACCTAAATGTTTTCTTTAAAATAATATTTTATTAGTCTATATTTAAAATATATCATTATTAATTTTAACGGCTAATTAAAATATTACTTTATTAACGTATATACTTAATTTAGAGCAAGATATTCCAATCTACACAACTGCATCACTAACTAACAAAATTTAAAATATTCAACCCCCTTTGGTTAATTTATAAAAAATGTTCCTAATGTATAAGGACGATTTAAGATAAAACATCGCTAGGGTTCTTAGCTAATTGTTAGATTAAACCATTACGAACCTAAATAGTTAGATTAAAGTATAGCATTGTCTATTTCGCAATAAAATGAAATACATTATTATATGTCAATATATCTTATGTAAAATTCAAAATTTATAACACACATGGTTACTTTAAAAAAGTTTAGTAACTAAAATGTCGATTGAAAAAGAATACACTTTAAATATTTTATTGGTCATAAAATGTTAATAACGTGTATATTGTTACGCAATTTATAATTAGCTTATAAGATTATTTGATAATAAACTATTACAACTCGCAATATTAACCTTTAACGGGATGCGAAGATGCAACATTACTAACTTATAAACACAAGTATAGCTTCCAGATTTACTTCCGCAAGTGCTGTGTTTCGAGAGTAAATAAAACCAAAATTAAGACTAAAAATATTTTTATTTCTCGCTTTTCAAGTTCATATGTCATACTGTGTTGTAGCATGCAGAGTGCATAATTATTATCGTGATTCATAGCATACGCACGTTTAATGACGTCACGACAGTACGCTTTGCAACGTTGAGCGTCCCTTATGTGACGTCATTCTAGTGTCTACTGACAGACAACACACTATTGTATGTTGGTGCGAATGATTAAAATAGGTAACCTTTTCAGACAGTTTTTGGCCCCCCATTTCGGGAAAATATTTATGCTTTGCCGGCTTGTAAAAGGCATTCACACCATAACAGTTGTTGTTCACACAAATGGCTTATGTAAATAGAGTTCCGACCATTACTGTATTTGGTGTATCCCAGTCGGCCTGAAAAGCTCTGGATTGAGAAAAATTATTGTCGGGAACAAATATGTCAAATATAGTGTGGTTATTATAAATTATTCTAATTTTTGAAAATCATAAGGGACTATATAAAGAATGGAGTGTTTAAAAATATAATAGGCCTAATACTAATGTCGTATGACAAGTAGTTACTAGCTTGTAGTTGGTTATTTATAATACAATGTTATTAACGTGAAAAATATAATAGGCCTAATACTAATGTCGTATGACAAGTAGTTACTAGCTTGTAGTTGGTTATTTATAATACAATGTTATTAACGTGAAAAATTAACTTTTCGTAAAGATTGCCTAACCTCCACTTAAGTCAAAATAATACGTTACTTACCTATATAGTTGACTTCTTCTCGCATTATCACTTCTTTCACGTATTCAGAAGTGTTATTAGTGGAATTCATCTCTGTAGAGCTATTCAAAAGGCTCTGGGGTGCTTCTTTAGGCTTTGTTACCGTGACTTCCTAAATACATGATGGATTATTTTAATTTTCTGGTTTCATTTATAATTTCTCCTTAAAGAAATTAGATTTCAGTTAAACAACTTTCCATGGTTAGAGCCTAACAGATATAGTTCGTGTGAAATAAGTTAAGGAAAAATGCTCAAATTAACAGCGTCTTTGTCTAAGTACGATTACTTTTACAATTCATTAAGATATGTACTATTTTACACACACACACACACACACAGTAAGTTATGGCTAAATTAGTTATGTAAGAACTATGTCTATGGCTTTGTCTTTCACTTAGGAAAAGATAGGTCTTAATAATGGTCTAAAATGTTATATATAAAGTTTGGAAAAACTAGCACACACATAGAAACAGATATGATAAATCACTTGTGACATGTTACATTCTTATACGTCATAATTTCTCAGATGGCGCTCTCTAACGTGTGTATGTAGCTGCACGTTAGTCGAAATGTGTCATCTGTGTTCATTATATTTGAAGTATTTATAGAAAAACATATTATATTTATCATAAAAATAAATAACACATATAATCTCATAAACTGATAGATGGAGCTATTTATGTCATCACGTTTCATTATGGCTGCTCTAAGACAGAATAAGATGGCAAAAGATCATGATGTTTTGCCTGTTTAGTACATGATATCAACTCGAAACCGACTCCAGTTTCACTATCCTACTCAGCATTCAAATGAGCCTCTAACTGTGTCAAATGCATTGCTCTGGTTAGCAATATTTCAATCATGTTTAGATGCATTAAGCTCATGGTGTTCGTGTAGTGTTGGAAGACACAGAAACGTGCTCTGATGATGAACACCTATTTACTACAAAATTGCTGCGACTTGAGACAGATATCTCAATGGTGAAGACAGATTCTTTAATCTCCAATCGCCCATCAGACCTGCCCAAAATTCCTACCAAGACATCTCATAGACCGCATCTCGCTGTCTTTGTCCCTGAGCGACACTGGCAATTCCAGTTACGTATTAGTTAACAACTAATTATGTCATAAAGGATTCATGAGATGTAGACCTCCAAAAATTGACAAACCGGTCCTCCGTAGAGTTCCGAAATGAAACTTATCTCAAAACTAACGTTTCCATATTAATTCATTCATTTTGTACTCCATAGCGCACCACTCCAAATCATGTCACGTCGTTTTTCCTATACCTACAGTGTTAAAGCATAACTTTGAAACGTATTACTGTCACTCTGATTGTCTGCTGTTGGTCATGGAAGAGTACATATTTAAGCTTACTAAAATAGTTGGAACTACATTTCCATACCGTTTTGTTGTTGTTGTTGTAAATATCGTGGAGTGTTTTAGGTTCTTGATAACGCCTATCCTTTAAACACTATGTAAGTTTTACATTTTAGAAAACGTAAGTACAAATCAAGATCACAAAACGCATTTTCCAATAAACAAAATGAGTTCTTGGTTTTACTTATAAATAAATCACTAAAAACAATATCACAACTTACTCGCACAAAAGTCGCTTCCACGATATTATCTGGCATAGCGTTCCTATTTAAATGGAAATGAAAAACTTAAAAATATATTTATAATTCAAAAATGAATGTTTGAAAACTCTACTCGAATACTAAAATATTTTAACGATCATAACATGTTTATTTCTGTACAACTTTTATGTAAAGGAAAGTAAAATAAAAATAGTTAAAGTTTATAGTTAGAATTTGATATTTTAATGTTTAATTACGTCGTCTCTTACCTAAAAACATCTAGAATTGAATCCAGTATCTGATTTTCATTGGTTGATTGAAACTGGGAGGAAGTCTCGTTTTTTGACTTTGCAATTACGCTGCCAGGCTGAATGATATAACCCAGAATAGTTCCTAATACTGAACACACCACTGCAAGCCCAATAAAAAAGCTAACTGTAAAAATTACTATACGACTAGCACCACCCCCTTTTCCAAAAGAAGAAACTCCTGAGAAAGAAAATTAAAATAGATTAATTGCTGTAATAAGAAGTAAATAATCATTGCAACACCAACAATATCTGCATTATTAAGTATAACATCATAAAAGTTTTAGCGCAATGCTATACAATGGACTTTGTCCGCTGCGGGGATCGAACTCAAAATGTTTGTGTTATTAGTTCTGAAGTTTACTGCTAAGACACTGAAGACCATACAATAAATATGGTAGAAACTGAAATATACTGCTCTTTCTTCGAAGATACAAAACATTCATTCAGATATTAATAAAACATAAGTTATATCTTTTCATCTATCGGTGTTTTAATAAACTTTCATTTTTATTAGACTATTTTTCAATATGAATTTTGAACATTATCATTTCACTATCTTTTTTCCATGGTACTAAGTTTTCGCTTCTTCTTCTTCTAGTATTTTCAGATGTAAGTCTACGAACTTAAAACACTAAAATCTTGGGTTAGATTCCTGTCGGTGGACAGAGCGCAGATAAATCATTGTTTAGCTTTGCGCTAAAACAACAATACACGAATATTCTATCTTTACCATTTATATTTTCACAGTTTTATATAATTTTATCAACTGACTTTGAGCTTTAATTCTCAATATGTTACAAGCATTTGAGTTTCAGTCAAGTATGTATTTGTACTCTACATACGTTTTCAAATTAAATCTATAACTGTGATTTCTACCTCTGCAATAGGATTATATTTAATATGTGTTTTATTTGTATAGTGTTTTATTTTTAAGATTAGGTTATAATTTTGTTTACTACTAGTTATTTAGATTGCCCAATAACAATAAAGGATTTACCCAAGATCACGCTGCATACAAGAAGGGGCACAATTAAGAGGATGAAACAACGTATCACAAGTCTTCCTGGAAATCCTATAAGACTGATAGTTTCTTGATCTGGGTTTAAAGAGCGAAAGAAGAGCCCAGCTGCAAAACCAACCATCGTTGATAATATCAGCAACAGTGATATCTTATTTTGAACAAGACCTGATTGAATCTGTAGGAATGAAAGTGTTCATTTTCTGTATAAAAATTCAAGGAAACAAAATTTGATCTGACATTTTGTTGATAGATATATTTAGGAAATTTTACTATTAACCTAAAACTACTTATACTAGCAAGTTAAAATAGTTTCAAACATTTATGGCTCCAAGAGGCGAATATATTTATGTAACTTCTTTATAATATGTAATAATAAAAGCCCTCTGGTTAATTCTATAAAAAACAAAATTCGTACTTTATTTTACTAAAGACTAGTAAAAATAAATTTACATGATGTGATCGTCTTTTCTAATCTGGTGAAGCGTGATTATAATTAATTAAATCAGCTTTATTATATTTTTAACACAATATTTTTTATTCAATCCCTTAGTATTTTTCATGTAAAAGAAGAGTGTATAAATAGTCTTTCAAACACACTATGTCCGTAATATCCATTCCCACCAAACGTCACGTTTCCCTCAATCCAAAGCCAAATGAGATACAACCAACACATTTGTGGTCGGAACACTATGGACATTAAAAAAAAAAACTCCAAGGAGCTTAATAAACATTGTGGTGTAAAAAGTATAATAAGCCTAATTATAATATCTTATGACAAACATAATTTTAAAAATATTTATTGATTATTTTTATGTATATTATTTGAAGTGGAATAAATACCATACGATCGAAATAACTGACATTATAATACCTGGTAAATGTTGAATATCTATACAACATAGTATGAAATATTATAATCAAATATAATTCAACAGCCAGGTAAAATGAATATAATTTACTATAAATAATGTTATAATTAATAACTTACATTAGACATGTGTTTTTTTCCAAGCAGGAACGTTTTCTCCATTTTCTGCTGTAGACTAGAAGCGATGTTCATGGAAATAAAAAAAACGAACTTCTAACATACAATACGTATTGCTGGCAATGATTGCAACATAAATAACCTGGAAGTAAATGTTATTCTGTAGTGATACGAGTCACACAACCAGTAAACCTGGGAATCGAATGAAATTAGGGAATCAGTAAATTTTGGGTGAAAAACTTGACCAACTCAAAATTAAAAGTGTACTTTAATGAATAGAGTACTGGCCAATCTCTTTCGTTTTTCAAGGCTTTTTATCATTTGCAATTTGTATATAAAATATTAAGAATTAAAATGTGAATTATACACCCCAGGGCCAATTAAAATTAAATTGTATATTCTTCGGGTTATAATTTGATTTTTCTTTATTTATTTTTCATAATTTAGTTTCAGTATAAGATATAATCATACTTATATTTCTCTGGTTTGATTTTCGATATGAAGAACAATAGTTTGTTTGTTTGTTTTGA